AACTAACGCCTGAAAAAAAAAAAAGGGGGGGGGGGGGAAATGGCTTTTGTTGCACATCTCCCTCTCAGACCCAATGATCTGAGGACCCTACAAGGAGCCGGGTGGCTGTGGAGCAAAGAACCACCACAGAAAGATCCTTCACCTTTCCAGCAATGGAAAGAGTCCACGGGGCATGGAGAAACTCTGAATCTGTTGCCTATCCACTATGTAGGTGTAAGAAAAGACCTGCTGAAAGAGGGTTAATTAAACCCTACAGATTTGCTTCACTTCTCCTGGTGCTACAAAGAGCAGTGTAGGGACAAGGCCTGCAGCTAACGTGGGACTGGGTGAGAAGAACAGGACTCTGCAGCACTATCATAAACACCAAAATAACTAGGATTGCCAAGATTTTGAACGAGAAAATTCAGTATTTCTGCATGCTGATGGACACACAGTGAATAGCTCAATCATTCCTTCAATTCCAGAAAATACAATCCTATCTAAAGTTCAAACTTAACTTGACATAACATTGTCTTGAATGTTGGCCTTAATGTTGAAACATTTGGAAAAATGTCTCCATCCAAAACGGTAACTTAAAACTACCATGACTGAATTTAGGAGGGGAAAACTGAAACACAACTTAAAAGGAATATATAAACACAATACCTAACCCTCTCATTAAAAAGTTGTATGAATTTCAGAGTATGTTTTTGTACAATAGAGTTTGTTCAGGTCTGAATAATCCATAAGAATTAAATGAATTAAAATCATACACAGAAAAGCTCAATAATTTTTGTCAGATTTCCTTATGATAAATTTACCCTTGATATTTGGAAGTGGAATTGGCACTTACTTTACTAAACATTAACAATTTTTCTATACCAAGTGACTGGGAAAAACAGTACAACTCAGCATTACTAATTTTTTTCCCTTTAAAACAGCATACGTGCCTTGTGTTTAACTTTGAAAACCACAGTTCCCAAGTGAATGTGGTGAAACTGAATGACTGATAAATCAAGAATATTTTATTTCTGCAGTGAGGTACCATGGAGTGCAATGAATGACCATGAAGTAATCAAGACTGTGTCTTGTGCCTCTCATCGCCTTCCTGGAGAAGCTTGCAGCAACCTTGCACCCCGAGGTGCCTGGTGAATATGATGACATTTTCTTCGAGCTTCTATGCTCAAACAGAGCCTATTATAACAACGCTGGAAAACCTGAGTGAATGTTTTCAGACAGTGAAAACTAGCCAACCATATTGCATTTCTTAGAAATATGAACTAGCTCATGTAAGGGCTTGTTCAGACTAGGTTATATTAATCTATACTGAAAATTATAATAGTACTGAATTTTATATTTCTTTCACACATTTAATGACCAGTAGCAGAATTTTACTGGATTCACTAATCCACATAAAATCAAATTCAAACTATGCAGCTGCTGCCATTGTTTATGTCAGCAATGATAATTTACAGGTGCTCAGATGTTTGCAAATACACTTAATTGAAAACTGTATATCACCATATACTCAAAATGCGTGTCGGCATCCCAAGACAACAGAAGGAATTGAAGATGAGCAGCCTTCTGCAACTGAAAGCTTTTTTTCCATCAGACAAACAGGAAAAGCTAGCGACTCAGCTCACTTGGATTTCATAATAACCTTGCGCATTAAGTAAATGAATATTTCATATATACCTAAAAGTGAGCATATGCAGTGTTCCATGCACAAATAAATTATGTGGCCTTGTTGTAAACAGCCCTAGTATCACTCAGAGAAGCCAACCAAGGAAAACAGACTGAAAAAGTAAGGCAAATAGCAGTGGGAAACCAGAAGATGAACCAAATATGTAGCAGGAACCTTGCTGACATTTTGCCTTTTATTAAAATCGTATCAGTTCAATATGAGTATTATAAATTGAGCAGTTAGGCGGGCTCACCACCTGCAAGTCATCGCATAGAACAGAAATTACTTGCCTGGAGGAAACAAGGCAAGAGCCTAAGCTAACGTAGAAACCGTGTGAAAAATAAAAAAAGGAATAAAACCAAGAGAGGAGGGTCCTCATTAGTCCTTATACCTCCCTGACGTGGACACCACACGTGCGCGTTCATGCTGTAGCTACAACAGACAACAAAACCCACGCACCTCCAGGCTCACCAGAGTCGGCAGGGTTGCTGCATGTTCTGCATTCCCAAGGTCCTTCCAGGCTCTGAATCCCCAGAAGCCTTCAGGATGTGGGGAAAAAGGAAGAGGGCACGCTGGCAATACGCAGGTGAACAAGCTGCTCCCAAGGCAGGCGGCGGCTGCTCTCTTCCCCTGCTCACGGGGCAGATCCATGCACTTCTTGAAACTACCTTCCCATCAGGTGGTCATCAGTGTCACCTCGAATTGTGCTGGACTGGACCAAGGGTGGGCAGAGGAGGCACATAGCTAACACCACCCGCCTTTTGGGTAGGGTGACAGGAAAGGAAACCTCACCCCATCCTGCTGCAGCCACCACCGTCCCTCCCTCTGGACCCAGGGTTTTGTATCCACACACTCTTTGCCCAAAGAGTCAGCACAGAGAAGACTACCAAACCATGAAATGCCCTCACAAAATGGGCAACTGCTGAAGTTTATGCAGGATGGTTTAAAAAAAAAATTAACAAAGGAGTAAGAAATTAAAAGAAAGCAAAGCAGGTATGACCACAGCCTGTGATTAAGTCATGGAAGTGACTCATCTCAGCCAGTGACTGAGGAGACCAGCAGAGTTAGGACTCATTTTGATGAAGAGTCGTCAGACAATGTGCTTGTTTTCACAAACACTGCTGACAAAAATGCTCACACATTGAACTGTGTTTCCCTAGTGCCTTTTGTCTATGTACAGTGGATATGCACCATGCTTATTCTTCTGGGTTTGATGCTTTCTTGCAGGGACAGTTATACACTTTTCTGAAACCTCTCTCTGCAAAATGAGTGTAGGTTTGCAAAGTTAAACACACTATGGGATTTGAATTAAAGGCAAAAATGCACAAACAGCATTGAGTTGTACACAGTGAATATTTTCTGGAAGATGCAATTCACCTGCACTGGATCCTTTAAAGTCAGATGATTTTCCTTTGAATACGTAAATTTCCTTCCCTACATAATTCTTCACTATACTCATCTTTGTTATAATTTCTTACATCTCTAAACAGTTTAAAGTTAGTTGCTATAGATGTGCAAAATATTTGTTTAGCTATGACTCATGAATTCCACCATATTTTAGCTTTAACATAAATGGTAAGTTGAAGCTTTTGTTCATGACCTATGTGACAAGATAACTAAGGATTAAGAAAATGCTATCTTTTCATTTACTCAAAATATTCTCCAACCTACAGAGGAAACAAAAGCAGTCAAATGTCCCCCTCAAAACAAGTTTAATGTTTTCCCATTAGA